CAAATCAAACTTATACTTACAGTAATTTGTAGATCAGTTTACAAGATAAATGTTTTCCCGACAGTTTTCAGTACACTGTTTAAAACACAGTCCTACACTATATTCGGTAGAAATTAATACCGGTTTAGATTTAAAATCGCGTAGATTATTCAGGCTGTTTTCTGACTTTAAAATATGTCTTAAAATAACTTAAAATCTGAGTTCAACATACGTGTCTTAAACTCTCAGTAAAACATGGTAACCAAAAGTGTCAATTTTTTAGCCCGGCGTTACGGTTTTACCGAAAACGCGACTCACGTAACTTTGATTTTACTAATTGGTAATTAAGAATTTCTTTAAATGTTAGAGTGCTTCTCAGAGCATTGTTAACATTGTACAATACTCAGGAATTATTATGAATAGAATTACGAGTCATAGACGAATCAAAAATTTCTCCCGTCTTAATTCGCGATGAGGATTATCGACCGAGTCATAGCATAAAATCTTTGACATAAAATTTTATATATAGAATTTTGGAATAATATTATTTATTCCATAAACCGTTCATTACAAAACATGTCATTATCCAGGAAATCCATGATTTAATTACTTAAATTACACTAATTAACATTATGATTTTTTTTCTGGTTATTATAGTTTACCTGGGACTGCGAAATTTTTTCTGGCATATCAAGTACGGATTCAAGCACTCGGGTGTCATGCACGGAGCCTCCCACCCGGCAAGCATGTAAGTGAACATCGTGTCAAAGGAACACACACCCAAAACATTTTGTGACAGAAATCCCTTCCTATTTTTCCACACCTCGGCAAGGAACACAAGAAACGTGCATCCCATCGAGCGCACCAACACAATTCTGCGAAGAAAGAAGATATTATTATTATACATAATATTTTGCAAGTAAATAATGTTAAGATAATACGATAAATAAAATTTAGGGACTTACATCAAACCATGGTCTATACTTGCTCCCACTTGCCTCAATGAATGGATCAATAGAGTTAAAGTCCGGGGGTTGAATGAAATCATGTCGTAGACGATATATGACATTCAAGACTATCATGAAATACTTTAAAAATATAGCTTCTGAGTGCTGCCATTGATGTTGTGTCTCCCTATTACTTTCGCTTTGACATACAATTGTCAGGAATATAATCAGTTGCTCATCAACGCTCATATTTCTAGTGCTTCTCAATAAATTCTTCTGTTGGAGTAACCAATTCAAACGCTTAAAGTAATCGCTCCCCATGTCAGAATTGAAATTTCCTGAAAAAAGGAAAATAAAAACCCATAAACACCCAAAACCAAAGTTTAAAAAAAGAAAAAAGAAAAATCAAACCAAAACAGCTCGCTAAGTCAAGGAGAAAAAGAACGGAAGAAAGAGGAGAGGCGGGGGAGTGTGCTTCTGGAGACTAGAGAAGAGGCTAAGCCGGAGTTGGAAGGAGAGCGATTAGTGTGTGAAATAAGACACACATATAGAATTCGTTCATTTTACCGATTTGAGTATTTAATTTTAGATTTTTATAGTTAAAAGCTCTAAAAAATGTCACATTTAATTTTTTTGTTACAGTTAAATTGAAAACTCGAATCCCCGAAGCAAACGATGTCATATATAGCACAAGTAAAATTTTCTAACCTTAAATAATAAAATAATTAACACCCAAAAAAAATTAAAAAAGGAAATATCACTTCAAAAAATAAGGAAACAATGGATTAGTTTTATTAATTATTTTATTTAAAAACGGAACTCAATGTTTTTTTTTTTTTGAAAAGAGAAGTTTTCGGGGTTGTTCTTTTGCAACGAAACTCAGAAAAAGTTTAAACTTGAGTTACAACTTTATTCAAGTTTATGTTTTTTTGTAAAATTTGAGTTTAAACTCGAGTTTGGGGATAAACTCGAGTTTAAGGACCTGTTTAGTTCACTAATTTGAGTTTTTAATTCGACTTGAGATGCGACTTTATGTGAGAGCTTTTTACTGTAGCAAAAAAAAAAAAAAAGATGTGACTATTTCTGAGAGCTTTTTACTGTAGTAAAACTTGAATTCTAAACTCGAATTGGTGAAATGAACGGGACCCAAGTTTTTCCTTCAACTCGAGTTCATAAACTCGAACTCAAGTTAATTAACAATATTTTTTCTATTATTAAAAATGACATAACTTTTTCGTTTTAATTCTGATTGAGATGATTTTTTTGTCTATGCATTCACAACGAAAAGATGAATAAAACCCCACCTATATACCCTATTAAAATTTTTTATCACCATTAAGTTTTTATTAAAATACTATCTAAATATAAATTTAAATTTTGACCCACCCAAACACAAACTCAAATAGATTCTCAATTCAAATCATAACTCAAATGTGCACATCCAAACACAAACTCAAGTTACAACTTCAACTCAAATTATAACTTAAACTCAATTCAAAATTATCGTTCAAGTTACTCGAACTCAAAAATACAAAAAAACAACCCCTTCATCTTTAATTCAAATGGAAACGCCAGTTGGAAAGAGAGATATGGGATGAGGGGCTAAGTGAGGAGGAGGCCGTGTTATGAGTGTGTTTTTTTTTTTTGAGAATCGTATTTGATTTATATATATATAGGTAAGCTCTGGTCAGGCACTTGGAAAGTGCCTGACCGGAACGGCAGTGTATAATTATATATAAATCGTGTATATTTATATGTAAATCGTGTATATTTACATGTAAAATTGTGTATGTTAAGTTATAATAAATGACAATGTATATTAATCCTCAAAACATGTATTTTTTATAGCAATTAGTGAACACATAACATTAAAATATGTATATTGGCTGATTTGTTGTATTTTATGTTAAATATACACGATTTTACATGTAAATATACACGATTTACATGTAAATATACACAATTTATGCAGAATTATACAACTACCGTTCTGGTTAGGCACTTAAAAAATGTCTGACCGGAGACAATTCCTATATATATATATTAAGAATGAATCGTATTTGATATTTGGGTTAGGAAAATTTAAATGTTTTTATGATTATTGTTCGGGCTTTTATTTTAAAGGGAAACATAAGGAAATAGTATATATTTTTCTACTTTTTGAGTAAATAGCATATCTAAAATACTCTGATAAAATCCTAAGCTCCATTTAAATTCCCCTCTCCTATTTATCAAAAAAAAAAAAAGCTGGTGATGATAGTACTTAAGGGCTTGTTCTTTTACAAGTATTCTTGAGTTAAGTTTTTGAGTTGAGTTTGAGTTATAACTTGAGTTGAAGTTGTAATTTGAGTTTGCGTTTGATTGTGTATACTTGAGTTATGGTTTGAGATAATAATCTTTTTGAGTTTGTGTTTATTTGTGGTAAAACTTGAGTTGTGAAACTACATACATAATTTAAATTAAGAGCCATTTATAAAATTTTTCTAAAAAAACAACCTTCTAAACAACAATTAAACAAAACAAAACAAAACAAAAAAAACCGCTCCAACCTATTCTCCCCAGACCAAAAAAAAAAAGCCTTCACTACATACATAATTCAAGTTGAGGGTCTCGAGAGCTTTGGGAAGGAAAAAATGGCTCGCCGGATTTTGGGGTCTTGGAATGGAGGGGGTTGTTGGCGAAGGCGTGGGATCGAAGGTTTATGGACACGGTGGTGGTGGTGGGGATGTGAGAGAGAGCTTAGGAATGGAGGAGTTTAGAGAGAGAAAATGTTGATGATGATATTGATGGTGATGAGAGAGAGCTTGGGAAGGAGAAAATGGGTCGCCGGATTTTGGGGTCTTGGAACGGAGGGGGTTGCCGGCGAAGGCGTGGGATCGGAGGTTTATGGACTTAGTGGTGGTGGGGATGTGAGAGAGAGCTCGGGAATGGAGGAGTTTAGAGAGAGAAAATGGTGATGATGATATTGATGGTGATAAGAAAGAGAGCTTGGGAAGGAGAAAATGGGTCGCCGGATTTTGGGGTCTTGGAACGGAGGGGGTTGCCGGCGAAGGCGTGGGATCGGAGGTTTATGGACTTGGTGGTGGTGGGGATGTGAGAGAGAGCTCGGGCATGGAGGAGTTTAGAGAGAGAAAATGTTGATGATGATAATGATGGTGATGAGAGAGAGAGGAGAGACAACTCGAGTTGATGGGAGGGAGGTAAACTCGAGAATGGGTGGTTTACTCGAATAAATTTTCGAGTGTTGATTCGAGTGAGGTAAGAACGAACGCAAATTACACTCAAATTATTCACTCAGTACATATAACTTGAGTGAGTTAAAGCAACCGAACAGGCCCAAAGACATTAGACATCGATTGAAGAAATATTTTTGTCTCATTAATTTCAGCGATTTGAGTTTTTAATTCTAATTTTATTACAGTTAAAAGTTCTCATAAAAAAAATTACATTTAATTTTTTTTACTACAGTTAAAAGCTATCAAATAAAATCACATATTAACTCAAATTAAAAAATTAAATCTACGAACTGAACGAGGCCTTAAAAAACCTGTCACAAGTTTTAAGGATGGATTGACTTTTACTACATATACTAAAACTATTATAAATATACCATGATAACACCACTTAAATTTTATATGCTATTAGAAGATGAAAATAACAAGACAAAAAAGCTCATTCTCGTGAGTTGTGTTTAATTCATGTTGTGTTTGGTTCAAGGATTCGTGTCATGCTTTGAATCATGGTTCGTGATTCGTTACAATATTTTTTTCTCATAAAAAATACACATAAATTGAAAATAATTTTGAATTATGATTCTAAATCCATCAATTAAACGTTAATACGAACTCATCTTTTAGTTTATTTTTCTCTTTAGCTTACAAATAGATAGAAATTAGCAGAAACATTAGAAATATATATATATTTTTTATTTTTTATTTTTTTTCAAGTTATAAAAACACTTCTAATCGCATTGCCAAACACAAACGATGTCGTTTTGTGAACACTGCCTTTTGTCTCTTTTTTTTTTTTCTTCTTTTTTATTCTCTTTTGAGAAAAAATAAAGGAGACAAAAATTCCAATATCGGGTCGAAAATCGAAATGGTGGAAATTGGAAAAGTGAGAAGGAAGACGATCATGAATCGACACTGAGAGAGAGAAGAAGAAGAAGAAGCTTCTAGAAGCGAACGGTAAACGCCGGCGAGCGGACCACCTTCGAAGCTTTTCTCCGATGTCGTTCTCGTTCTTCAAGCCGTCGAGGCCCAAAACCCCTCAGGACGTTGCCAAGGCCATCAGGGACAGCCTCGCCGCTCTCGATACCAAGACCGTCGTCGAAGTCAAATCCCTCGAGAAGGTAACTCTTTTTACCGATGAATTTTCCGATCACCGATTTTCCTTATTCAATTTCACGTTTTGATGAGTTCAAATCCGCAATTGAGAGAATTCGTGATGTTTTTGTGTTCCGTTGCTATTGCATTTCCCATTGATGGTGATATTTTTTCTGTTAATTTTCGCAATCTGTTAGTGTAAAGGTTAGGTTTTTGATCGTATAATTCGTGTGGTTGTTTCAGGCTTTGGAGGAAGTTGAGAAGAATTTTGCGACAATGAGATGTATGATTTTGGGAGACGGAGAGGTTGAGCCGAACGCCGAGCAAGTCTCGCAGCTCGCGGAGGAAATTTGTAAAGAGGATGGTATTTCTCTGCTAATTCACAAGCTCTCAATACTTGGATGGGAAGTAAGTAATGATACATTTGTTCAATTTTTTTTTGTTTAATTTTAGAAAAATTATTTGTTAACACTATGTTATGCACATGAATCTTCTAATTCGAAGAGAATAATATTGTAGCGTCATTGATTTAGGCAAGAAAGGATCTTGTCCATTGTTGGTCGATATTGTTGAAGCAAAAGGTTGGCCCCACATATTGCTGTGTGCAGTATATCGAGGAGCATTTTGAGTTACTAGATTTTCTTGTCGTGTGGTACGTTGTGCTGTTGATGTTCTTGCACTTCTTGTATATCCCTTTTTTATTATTATTTCATGAATTTTTGGTTAGTAATACATATTTTATTTTGTTTGTCTTGTCCTTTGTGTTTTCCATTGCTAAACTATGTGGCATTATGGCAACTAGCTCGTTGGTTCTACGAAGTTTAATCTCGTTATTTCTTTCTATAATTAGTTGCAAATCATGGTAGTCTATCCGTGTAGATTAATTTGAATCTGCCTCCTATTATTAGCGATATGGTTTTTTTATTTAAATTCAATTGAGACTTACTGTCATCCCTTTTTCAAGCAGCTATGATAACAAAGAAATTGCCTTGACCTGTGGAAACATGTTGAGGGAATGCATTAAGTTTCCAACACTTGCAAAGTAAGACAATCAAACTTTTTGTCCTCTTTTCCCTCTAATTGTCACATCTGGGATGTAATGATCTTTCCAAGTTGGTCGCATTTTGTCTGAGAAGCTTTTTTTATTACACTTTCATGATTGATGACTTTACACTGTTGCGGATATAGAAATCATCTGATAGAATTTAAATTGAAGTCTGATTACGTGTTCATTAGCCAAAAAAATCGTTTGTTTCCTAGTTGCTTTTGGCGTATTTGAAGAAATTTTCATTTATTCACACATTTGATTTCTGTAGTATTTTTCAGATACATTTTGGAGTCTGCAAGCCTTGAGTTGTTTTTTAAGTTTGTGGAGTTGCCTAACTTTGATGTTGCTTCTGACGCGTTCTCCACCTTTAAGGTCACATTATTCCCTTCTTTAATTTTGTGCTTCATCAATCATTTACTTTTGAATCTTTAAACACTGACATTGTTTATACCTCCGTTTTGCTTTGAATAAATTTTTGATAGGATTTGCTTACTAAACATGGAAATCTAGTCTCCGAATATTTGACGGCACATTATGATGAAGTATGCTTCTTACTTTATTTTATTTGCTTTGGTCTAATTTTGGTACTTTCAATTTTCTTTGGTACTCTTTATTTTTATTATGTTAATCCAATATTTTAAAACTAGGAGATCTTCGTAGCGAAAAAGCTTCATGAAGGAAAATTTAAGTTTGTATCTGTAGTTCTGGAGACAAAATCAAGTCTACTCATCCTTGATATATATGCATGTTCATGCAGGCTGTGAAGATAGCTTTCTTTACATTACTTTTTGCATACTCATCATTTCATGTTTCAGCTTGTCACTTGTGTAACAACTTTTTTTTTTTTTTTTTTTTTTTTTTTTTTTTTTTTTTTTCTCTCTATATGAACCAGTTCTTTGAACTATATGAAAAACTCTTGACATCTTCTAATTATGTTACAAGAAGGCAATCATTGAAGGTTAGTATTATGAATTATCCATTTCTTTTTTTTGTTTGCTGTTCTTTTCGTCTACAAGATATTTGAAGAATTGATCTTTTATGAATTAACTCTAGCTTCTCTCGGAATTCCTTTTGGAGTCTCCAAATTCCCACATAATGAAGCGCTACATTTTAGAAGTTCGGTACTTGAAAGTCATGATGACATTGCTTAAGGTAATAACTGCTTTACTTCTTGTTGTTATTTTCCTTGTAGCCTTTTTTATTAGTGGATTCTTGAGTTTTTGGTTTTCTAAAATGTGACTAAATGGAATTTCCCTCACCTTTTTATGTATTAGATTTTTTTTATTCTCTCACGTCTTCTTCCCAGCTTGGAGTCTCTCCCTGCTCTGATTTATGTAGAAGATTCAAGATTATGTTTGGGTATCATTAGTAAAGAGAGATATGACTTATCTGCTCATTTCCTTGTTTTTGTAAACTGTTTTGGCCTTTTGACACTGCATTTTACTAGAAGCTTACATAGTCGATGTTTTTCCATGCTTAGCTTCTTCTTCTTCTGCTTCTTCTTCTTCTTCTTCTCACATTAGATTGACATGAGACTGCAGGTTAACTTAGTATAAGTAATATATCGTTTGCAGATTGAGATTTTTGTCTTGTAGGCAGAAAAAAATATTTCTGCTTTTTCCTGCTTTGGGCATCCTGGAGATACAGTATCTCTTGTTGATGTTAAGTATAGGACAATGTACTTAACGTATATACCCTTGAGCTCCTTAGCTTTTTATCTGAATTTGTCAATTGTCACTTCACGATGATCATCTGGTCTGTTCACTTTCAAGCATTTATTGTAATTTTTGATCAACTTGTTCGCAGCCTATATGATACTCAGTTCTCATGTTTGATGCTATATGAGAAATTTTGCTGCGATTATGCCTTTTTGATTTTACCATTATCTTCACCGTTGATTCTCTTTAACCCGCAGGATTCAAGCAAAAACATCCAAATCTCAGCTTTCCACATATTCAAGGTAAATGATTATCTGTGTTTTCTTTCACTGCCTTTTTCCGTGTTTTTGTTTGTTTCTGTACTTTACACTCGTTATAACGGGAACATGATCAGGGTGTGCACTATGCAGTGGATAGCATTATTTGAATTTCCTGTGAGCCCGAGTGGATTATTAGTGAGTCTTGACTTGCTTGTCTTACAAGTCTGAAACTGTTCCAGATAAATTATTTTTACATAAGTTACATCAGATTCTTCAACCAAAGTTTGAACCGTAGAGACATCTACTGTAGGATGTTTTTGAGAATAATAACTTGTAATCATCCTCGTGGTTCAGTTAAAAAAGATTGGAAGTCTTTCTTTTTTCTGTAAATGTATTTTCATCTCAATATGTGTATTTATCGACTTAATGGGAAAACATAGTTTCTTCTCCATTATTTTAGCTCTTGAATTCTCCACTATGCAAACTACTTGTAGGTTTTTGTTGCTAACCCTAACAAGCCGCGAGAAATCAAGATTATTCTGGCTAAAAACCATGAGAAATTGCTACAATTGCTTGAAAATCTTTCTACTGGAAAAGGTAAATGATCAGATCCATAGCTCCTAAACTTCTATCCTACTTGCATCCTACAGCACCACACGTAACAACCATAGTTTTCGACCCTTTTACTATCTTTTGCTCTTTGCAGGTGCTGAAGATGAGCAATTTGAAGAGGAGAAAGAGCTTATCATGAAGGAAATTGAAAGAGTAGCTCGCTTCACTAATCTCAAATGATAGGTCATTTCTCGATGACGTTGCATTTTGCGCTGGCCCCCACTTTTTCGACTGCCAATGGTTTACAATGAAAAACTCTTTTTGCCTAGATGAAAGGGGAGGGGGTTGGAAATCTTTGCGCTGTAGGAGTGTCATTGCCCTAGTTAGTAGGTGATTATTAATTTTTTTTTAAGGAAGTATATACACTTGTAATTTTGATGCAATCAAAAAGTTTTACTAGGCACATATCGTTGTGACTTGTGAGTTTTGGGCTTGTCAAGTTCGGTTTGTATAGGAGTAATGACAAAGAACATGTGTGAATTGAGATTGTATGATTCCCAAGTGGTAAGGAGAAGTATCAAATATATTGGATGTTGCTGGTGAATGAAGTAGCCCATGTGAACGAAATTCATAAACAAATGCTCAGCTATATTGTCTTATCAAACTCCTAGATATTATAGTACTAGATACTGTATTTTCTTTGCCCCTTGTTTTTTTTTATCTTTAAGAAGGATTTTAGTGTCAATATAATAGTTAAAGTATTTAGTTTGCTAAAGGATTTAAGGCTTATAAAAACATACCAAAAATGTTGGTCTTTTATTGATATTATTTGCCAGAGAATATATGTAAACGAACCAACCCCTGTCTGATTTAAATTTGGTGTATCGCAATTTAGTTTTATTTGGAAATTTGAATACTCCATGACTCGTGAATTTTTAAACCTAAAATTTGGTAATCTTTTTTCAAAACTCTCTTTAACAAAACAAATATGATAAATAACGGCTTAGTTACGTTGTGGTATGTGATTTCTTTAAGTATTGTTGTTATTTAATTTATAGCACCGAAAGTGATTGGCAGTATTTATTTATCCAGGAACACCCATTCAATGATTAAATTGGTCTTTTCATATTTGCTGAGAAAATTGGCTTTTCCTTTCAAAGAGGAAAAATAAGCTTTAGCATCTAACAAACAAACTGGCATTTTCAAAATTAATTCTCATATATATTTCAAAGCTTCCTTTTTTTTTTTGTTTAATCTTAATGACGAGATTAATGAAACAAATTGACATATATTAACTTAGATTTTATATTTTGACATAGCACACCAAAGCCTTTACTCTTTTTTTCTTTTTTACTTTTGGCGTCATGGAGTGACGGAGAGTTTAAAAAACTAATAAAAAAAAAAAAAAAAAAACTTTTTCTATAAATTCTTTCTTTGTTCCCATGAGAATCTTCTGGTGATATATTCCTAATTTCCACTTCTTTCCCTCTCCACAAAGCGTTCTTTCACCTAAAAAAAAAATCCCTGCGAACTCTTCCTCTTTTCTCCTTCAATGGATTTCTTCAAGTCCGTCTTCGCCGACGAACACTTGGAGTCCTCCGACTCCGACGAGCCCCAAAACGACGACGTTCCCGCTCCCGAGTCGCCGCCGGATTCGAATTCCAGTACACCTTGGAGCTTCGGCGGTCTGATCAAGACCTTGGCGACAAAATCTGAGTCGGTTATCCAGACGTACCGCAAGGATCTCGAGGAGTTCGGCTCCGGCCTGAGGATGGAGTCGGCGGTGATCCGCGACGCCGCCTCACGCGCCGTCAAGGACCTCCCGGCGTCGCTCGAGGTCGGCGCCACCGTCGCTCAGGAGTCGCTCGAATCGGTCGGCCAAGCGATCGACGACATCGGAAGCTCCGTCTGGAAATCGACGGCCGAGATCATTTCTCAAGGCAGGGATTCGCTTTTGGCCGCCGCCGACGAAGACTCCGACGCCTCCGAAAGCAACAGCCGGCAATTAAGCGGCCGTCCGAGCTTCGATTCGAAACCCTACAGTAGATTCGAAGCTCAATTGCGCGCGATGCAGAGCAATGCGAGCACTTACTTGGATGATCCTGAGGATTTGGGGAATTACGAGCTGTGGAAGTCGGGATTCGGTTTGGACGAGAGAAAGGAAGAGACTGAGAATCTGATGAAGAGAGAAAATGGAGAAATCGGTGAGATTTACGAGACTCTTGTTCCGAACAGTGTTGATCACGAGAACTTCTGGTTCAGATACTTCTACAAGGTTCATAAGTTGAAGGAATTTGAGGACGCAAGGGCTAAGCTCGTGAAGCGGGCAATTTCCGGTGAAGAAGAGGAATTGAGTTGGGATTTCGATGACGAAGATGAAGACGAGGAAGAAGACAACAAAGCTCAAGAGAAGCTTCAACCGGAATCGGAATCTGCAAGCGCAAGTGATAATGTGGACAAGCCAGAGGCTGCAAAATCTGCAGTAGTATCTGAGGCAAAAGCTAGTGAGAGTTCTGATTCTTGCAAAGACAGTGATGTTTCGATCGTGTCAAGGCCCGAGGAGGAAGAAGACCTCGAATGGGATGAGATTGGAGACATTGGAAGCAATGATGAGAGTAAAGCTGTGGGTGGTGGTTCTGGTGAAACCTCAAGTAGAGCTGATTTGCGAAAGAGAATGAGTAATGCTGCTGAGGACGACGAGGATCTGAGTTGGGATATTGAAGAAGACGTTGATGATGAGCAGCCTAAGAAATCTTGATAAAGTTCATTGCTTTGGAGGTTGGACTATCCCTTTGATTGTTAGAATTTATTTTCGCCTGCAAAAATGTGTTTCATTTTACATGCCCTGATGATAATTCTTTAATTTGGTCAAATATATGGTATATACTATGTAAATACAGTACTTGCATTTCCATACCAAATTATTGGTATAAATATGTTACCATCTCATTGTAATAAAAGTTCCACTTCAACCGGGACCAAAAAAAAAAAAAAAACTTGATGTGGGTTTCAATGGAGGTGCTTTGCTTTAATGCCTGAATTTGTGGCTTACTCAACTGTTATCACTATGTTATTAACTTATTATCACTTGGTTCTCACATTAAGAACAACCCTGTTGTCATTTCCCTTCTCTTTAAACCCGAAAACACACTCCCGAAAAGACGGTTTAAAGTCCTTTCAACGTTGCATTAACCAGAACGATGGTGGTGATTCTGATTAAAAATAAAAAAAATAAAATAAGACCCTGCCCTTTGCCGACATTGTAAGACTTCGTTAGGCTAGAATTAGCTTAAAAACCCCAATTAATTGAAGAGGGGACAAATTACTTGTTGATAGTGGAGATGAGAATATGGGCAAATCGCTTGAGGTATGGGGAAAAATCACTTCCAACTTTCCATTTTACTTGTCTACATATATCACCGATAAAGAGTACTCTGTTTGGGGCAGAATTTCACTAGATTGTGTAAGTGGTGGTCCTACCAATACACGTTATTTGGATTTGGTCCATTACCAGAGGACTAAACGTGTTTTGAGGACACGGGTAGTCAAAAGTTTAATGGTGGGGAGTTTTTGCAGTGGCTTCTGATGATTACCGAGCCACCTAAATAATCTTACCATGGGTCAATCCCCTTTGTTGTGTTAATTTGAATTATAACTCAAATTTTTATTAGTGTTTTCTCTCACAAAAATTTAAATTTAACTTTTTCTATTATAATATTTTTTCTCACATAAATTTATTTTTAACTCAAACAACTGATATGAACAAAGTGTTAAATTATTACTCACACGACGATACAGAAAAATAAATGTTGCCTACAATAACTAGTTATCGCAGAAGTGACAAAAAGAAGATCAGATGCGGGTAAATAAACATTACAGTGACAAAGGAAAGCCGTGTCGGCACTGTATATCCAGTAAAAAAAACAAAACAAAAAAATTAATCGACCATGCAAAACATGTGTTCTATGCAAATACACGATGCATTATTGAGAAATGAAAACACGTTGTAATAAGCTACCATTTATGAAGAAAATGCATTTAACACACTTAATACAGCCAGAACTACTGACTGAGAAATTTTCATGTTATTGAGTTACGACCATTCACTCAAATGTGATATAAAAGATACGGTGAAGCGTAGACAAGATCTCTAGTCTTAGTTTCGAATACACTTGCTGCTTTTTGGCAGAAATGCCTGGCTTGTGAGAGTTAGCCGATAGACTAACCGTCTGATTGTCTCAGCATCCGCAAGATTGAAAGGAACAGGTTCAGTACATCCAGGTAAAGAGTAATGGCAGCCCAAATGTATTGATCATAAGTGAAGCGCTTGATCAAGTTATCTGTGTCGTAAACAATATAGCCCGAGAAGATGATTGCACCAACCGCACCGTAGATAGCAACAGATGTAGAGCCAAGTGGGAAAAATGCCTAAAGACCACAACAGAAGTTATACAAAGTCAGATCAACAGTACAGGATCACATGGTAAAAAAATTCAAATCTCTGTTATGTGCATATGACACAAGCATACATAAATGGGGAAGTATTTATATAAGAAATGGGCATCTGACCTGGATGAAACCGGTTAGAACAAGAATAATGAGACCAGTGAATAAGATTGGTCCTAGGAAGCTGAAGTCCTTGCCCTTCTTGGAAGCCCAGAACGTGTATCCAGTCAAGGATACAACCACAGCTGAGGTTAAAATCAATGCCTCGAGCACAATCCTTCCTGCAAACAACCAAGATCCACAATTTAACAGACCAGAAATTTCGCACCTACGAGTCAATTTCACGAAACCAAATAGAAGTTGTAGTTCGTCACGAAATCCTCAGAAGAACGACGCAGAGAATTAACAAATGAAATTTCAAGAGTAAGAATACCAACCATCCGTGTTAGCACAGCTTACGCCGACGGTGAAACTTAGTGTCACAGTGAAAAGTCCGAGGAAGATGAAGTTCAGAGGATGCTTTTGCTGATAGACATGCAAGGGCCATAACACTGCAAAAAGAATTTCATATCAATCAAAATGTGGAAAGATGGATCAAGCACAAAAATTCCTCAAGAAAGCAAATAACCAAATCCCAACATAGGCAAACTATTCAAGAATTTGTGATACACAAGGTTATTAGCATTACATAACCAAACTATATTTTTCTCTTTCCAGTTTCCACCATCCAACAATCCATTTTAGGGCTGTACATGGGTTGGGTTGGTGCGAGATAAGATTTTTTCTTGCCCCGCTTTAAAGGGTGCGGGTTGCACATATTTACTCTCAATGATGTTAGAAAAATTTCACAATCTAATGATGTTTGGGTTGGGTTGGGTTGGGGAGAGGCGGGGGGGGGTGGGGGCTCGGGGTTCATCATTCAAAGAATCAAAGTTTAATCCAACATTCAAAATTTATCATCTGGGTTGGGTGCTCGGGTTTCATCATTCAAAGAATCAAAGTTTAATCCAACATTCAAAATTTATCATCAAATAGAAATAATAACTCCAACATTTAAAGTTCATCATCAAATAATACTGATCATCAAATAGAAATAATACTAATAATTAAACATAACTTCAACATTCAAAGTTCATCATCAAATAAAAATAATATTGATTAGTCCATCATCAAATAGATAGCAATTCAAAGTTCAATCCAACATTAACATGAAGCAAAGTAGTCCATCCAACATCAAACATGAAACAAAGTAGTCCATCCAATATCAAACAGCTTAATTCAAATCCATCTAAAATAACTATTGTAACAACAACCATCTTTATAAGTCCACACTCATAAGCTTCTTATGGCTTCTTATCATGCATATTTGTGCGGGTTGAATTGGGATATGCGGGTTATTATAGGTCCAACCTATAAATTGCTCTAAACACCCGAACCAGACATTTAATGGGCTGAAAAATAAAAAATAATGCTATAAGTTGCCCTTTTCAGGTTGGATTGAGGTGGGATAGGAGGTGGGGTGGGTTGTATTCGCGGGTTGTTTGGGTTTATGTATTCATTATATATACAAACAAGCTGCCCACAGAGACGAGGGATCTAAAAACCTTCCCAAATATCAAAACCTAGAAACCCAAATTCGAAATCTCACAAACGATTCAAGAATAACAAGAACAATCAATATAAAATCTGCCGCCGGAAAATACAAATTGTGATCAACAAGAATTCGACTAATTTCTACCACGAGAATTAAGATGATAAACCTAAGGATGGAGAAACGTACAGATAAGAGGAAGGATGGCGAGGAAGAGAAGAAGGCCGGGGCTGCCTCGAAGGAGATCGTTGACGGGAGCGTAGAGGACGGTGACGGCGGAGACGACGGTGGTGAGGACGATCTGAGCGGTGAGGATTCCGTAGACCTTGCGAATAAAACCCCATCGGAGCTGGTTCTCGCCGGCGCTGAGCCCTGGGTAGAGAATCTCTCCGGACTCTAGATCTACCTCCTCCGACTTGCTGTTCAACCCACTGTACCCGTACATCTCTCTCTCCTCGCTCTTTCTCTCTCTAGATTTTCCTTCTCTGGTTTTTTTTTTTTTTCTTCTTCTTCTTTTGCTTTCGCGGAAAAATTCTGAGCAGAAAATGTTAAGGGACGAATACGATGACTTGGGATCTTTCTTCTCGTGTGTCGCGGTTGGCGGATGAGACAAAATAACAAGAAAATGAAAAAGAAAGAAGGGGTTTGTTTCGGAGACGGCATACATTACCTACAAAGTATCACGGTCCAATCTGCTGCCGTTGAATTTTAACAAAAAATTGGCGTGACCGGTTAAGGACGGTTGGCTGTGACGGTAACTTTGACCTGACTGTTTAAAAATAACGGGATTTAGGGGTTATTTGGTTGGGGGATTTATACCCCGATTCGAATTATGATTCATGGTTCGTTACAGTGTTTTCTCTCACAAAAAATACACGTAAATAAAAAATGGTTCTAATCTCATAATTTTAATCTATGAACCAAACGTCTCCTTAATCTCACAAATAGTTCTTAAAATTTATCATAAATTTAGTTGACGTTCGGTTCATGGATTCATAACCATGATGTAGAATTATTCTCGTTGTACATGTATTTTTTGTGAGAGAAAAATACTGTAGAGAACTATTAATCATGATTCAGAATCAGAGACGAATACAAGAAACAAACATTAATTTTTTATTTTTAAAACGCATCACAGTTAGTTATTAAAGTTTTATTTTATTTCAGTTTCAATCTTTTCATTAATTTAGTGTTAAATATTTAACGAAATTTATAAAAATTATAGATTAAAATTAAAATATAAGTCTCATTTATTTACCGATTCGGGTTTTTAATTATAATTTTATTATAGTTAAAAGTTCTCATAAAAATTTATATCTAATTTTTTTATTACAGTTAAAAGCTCTCATATAAAATCACAACTCAGTTCAAATTTAAAAGAAAAAAAAAATGTAAAGATAAAAAAATATAAAAAAAATAAAAATTAATTTTTAAGGATATGAGAATTAATTCAACCGATACCAACATAAAAATTGAAACCACGCATCGTGGTATGCTAAAACATGAAAACTCTAATTTAAAAACGACGGGAAATTCTGAAAAGGACAACTTATCCTTTTGCGGTCCCAAAGGCCAAAAAAAAAAAAAAAAAAGGCACTAAAATTTTACTACAAACGACATCTAACTTTTAAACATAAAACTGCAGTCGTCTGTTAGACTTAGCAGGAAATACCAAAAAACGATTGTCGTTTTTGCACATCGACTATAATTAACGTGAGGTCGTTTTCCTTTAAAGGGCAAATAGATTCTTAATTGTGTGGGTCACGACAATTATTGAACTCATTAGGTATGAATCACCCGAAATGACTAAAGAAATAGAAAAACAAACCATTGGGCTTATATTATATATATTATATTATATATTACATAATTCATAATTGAACCATTTTATGGACAATACATAGGTCAACTCTGCAAGCAAGTAATAGTGCCAAACAAACAGGAAGTAAATAAAAGTATCACAGATTTGATTGAAGAACCCAAATCATTTCCCAAATCCAAAGTACCAAAAAAAAAAAAAAAGAAAAAAAAAAGTTTCAACTTCATCTTTGAACCATTCACACAAAAAATAAAAAATAAAAATAAAAAATCTCGAAGGCCTTTCTTTTTTACTAGTACTAGTACTTATTGCATATGTATATATATATATATATATATAGATAGTGTGTGTGTGCGTGTTTGTGTAGTGTGAAGAGTTATATCCAGAAAGTCTCCAGAAAACCCAAAAGCTCGTCTCAGATTCTCTCTCTCTCTCTCTCTCCCAAGGGATTTTTGGCGCCAAAAATCCAATGCAAAACCCAAAAATTCAGGAATAAGATTGGCTGAAATCCGATGTTGTTCGTATTATTAGCTCTTTAGATATGGTCGTGGAACCGAGCTCCAGCCACTTCACAGATATCAGAAGGTAAGATTGCAATCAGGCAAAACCCTAATTTTTTTGTGGGTCTGTTTTGGCTGTTTCTAATTCGCGTTTGATGCGTTTTATTTCTACGATTCTATAGATTTTGCGCTTTCTCCTGATCTGAAATTTTCGATTATGTGTTTTATTTATTCGTCAGTTTTTTAAAATTATTATTATTGTTATTTGTTATCCTCTATAGCTTTGTTTGGTTGCTGCGAAAATAGGAAAATGGAAACCCAGAAAAGAAAATGAGTTTTCCGAAATCCCCAGTGGTGGGTTTGTCACATGGATCTTACTTCCGTTTTATATTTTTCTTTAATTATTGCATGTTTAAAAAGTAGAGAAATGCGAAAAATCTTGTGTTATAATATATTAAGGTACTGTTTTGTTGGCTATGGTAGGTGTTTTTTCCCGGTGAGAAAATTTTGCCTTTGAAACCAGTGAAGATAATTTCGTATTTGTAACCCAACAATGTATGAATATAAGGAGTCATTTCTGGGTTTTTGATGTAAGATTCTATTTTGTATATACTGCATATTGACGCAGTTCAGGTACTGATCCTTGCAGCAGAGGGTTTGGGAACACTGTGGTGGTGAAGGCCTATCCCGTTGGTATGGTTCCTGCTATGAATAATGTCAATGTAGAGGATGAAGGGGACTCTAGACTAGAACCTTATGTTGGACTGGAGTTTGATTCCGCGGATGAGGCGCGTGAGTTCTACAGTTCATATGCGACGCGTGTGGGGTTTAAGATTCGGACTGGTCAGCTCTATCGCTCGAGAACTGACGGGACTGTATCTTCTCGAAGATTTGTGTGCTCAAAGGAGGGGTTCCAGCTCAATTCACGGACAGGATGTCCAGCGTTGATCAAAGTCCAAAGGCGTGATTCGGGGAAGTGGATTGTGGACCTTTTCCTTAAGGATCACAATCATGATCTGGGACTAATGGAGGAAAGCCCTCCTACTTCGCAGCAGCGGAAGGCTCCTTTAGAAACAAAGTCTGTAGTAAAAGTGTCCAGTAGGCTGAGAACCAAAACCAAATTGATTGAGGAAGTTGAGGATGGGAGGCCTTCTGCCTCAGGCATTATCAATATCAAGCGGCTTAAAAGGGATGGAGATGAAATGCTATCTACAGTTGAACCGTTTTCTGGTCTGGAATTCAACTCAGCCAATGAGGCATACCAATTTTATCAGGCATATGCAGCAAATAAAGGATTCAGGATTCGAATTGGTCAATTGTTTCGCTCGAAGCTTGACGGGTCAATCACATCTCGGAGATTCGTGTGTTCAAAGGAAGGGTTTCAGCACCCTTCAAGACTTGGCTGTGGGGCATTCATGAGGATTAAGAGACAAGAAACTGGAAGATGGGTTGTTGACCGTCTCCAGAAAGGTCATAACCATGAACTTGAACCTCAACTAGAACTGCATAAGAAAAGTCTTTCTGCTTCAAAAAAGCTGTTAGAGGAGGAGAGTGGTGGACTGGACAATGAGGATATTTTCCAGATAACCACAGGCAATGTTGTCAAAAGAAATCGAGAAAATCACATAGGAAATGATTGGTATCGCGTGCTTTTTGAATATTTCCAAACCAGACAAGCAGAAGATACAAGTTTCTTTTATGCAGTCGAAGTTGACCATGGTAGTTGCATGAGTATTTTCTGGGCTGATGGCAGGTCTAGATTTTCAGCCAGTCAGTTTGGTGATGCCATTATTCTTGATACCTCTTACCGGAAAAGTATCTATCTGGTGCCCTTTGCTACTTTTATTGGAATTAACCACCACAGGCAACCGGTGCTTCTTGCCTGTGCCCTAATTGCTGACGAGTCTGAAGAAGCATTCACTTGGTTGTTCCAGACATGGCTTAAGGCAATGTCAGGGCTTCATCCTCTTTCAATAATAGCTGACCAGGACAAGGCCATCCAGCAAGCCATCAAAAAAGTCTTTCCGAGAGCCCACCATCGATTTTCATTGTGGCAACTTAAGGCTAAGGAAAGGGAGTATCTGAATCTGATTGAACCCTCCATTGGGTATGAATATGAAAAGTGCATTTACCAGATTCAGACAGTTGATGAATTTGAAACCGCATGGAATATGCTTATCAATAGGTATGGCTTGATAGAGAATGTTTGGTTGAAAGAAATGTACGAAAAGCGTGAAAGTTGGGTTCCGGCGTACCTGCGCAATACCTTTTTTGCTGGCATCCCTCTGAATGAAAACATTGAATCATTCTTTGGTACATTCCTGAATGCCCAGACTGCACTCGTAGAGTTTGTTTCACGATACGAAAGAGGCATTGAGCGACGCCGCGAAGAAGAAAGAAAAGAGGATTTTAATACTTATAACTTGCAGACTTTCTTGCAGACAAAAGAACCAGTAGAAGAACAATGCAGAAGGCTTTACACACTTGCTGTATTCAAGATATTTCAGAAAGAACTTCTACAGTCCTATGGTTATGTTGGCTTCAAGGTTTACGAAGAAGGTGCTATTACCAGATATCTGGTGCGGAAGGGTGGGAATGACAACGAGAAGTGTCTCGTCACCTTTAACGCGTCGAATATCACCATTGGTTGCAGCTGCGAAATGTTTGAATTCGAAGGCGTGCTGTGTAGACATGTTTTGAGGGTTTTCCAAATATTGGACGTAAGAGAGCTTCCATCTCGATATATTTTGCATCGATGGACAAGAAATGCCGAGTTTGGTACAGTTCATGATTTCGAATCCACGAGGAGCTCTCAAGAACTCAAGGCTTTGATGGTATGGAGTTTAAGAGAAACAGCCTCTAAATACATAGAGGCTGGAGCGGCGTCATTCGAGAAGCACAAACTCGCTTATGAGATAATGCGAGAGGGGGGAAGAAAGCTTTGTTGGCAGAGATAAGGGCTTAGATCAAAAGGTCAGACCTCTTCAAAGATAAAATTTTTGTAGCTTTTAACTCTATCATGTAGCTACTGTTTTTTTCATCGGGGCCCTGATTATGTAACTGAAGACCATAGCTCTGCCATGGATAATAATTTTTATTCTCTTAGAATATTGTGACCATGTATATAATGCGTGATGTCGAATACCATTTCTTTTCAAATAATCTCCCATTCATTGAACGGTTGCTACAGCCCTTTCTTGGAAATTAGAAATGATTTCGACCTTCTACTGTCTTTTCATCTTTTTCTTCTTTGCCCTTTTTCTCCCAAGAAATTGGAGCAATGCGAGGCATTTTGCAAGAAAAGGGATAAGAAAAATAAAGAAAACATGTCATTATTTTAGCCAACTTGGTCAACAACCATTGTAAATTTATGCCTAAGTGAATGATGGAAACAAGACAACTATTGTTGATCCAAAAATTGCTCAATGGGTCAAATGATGAAGCCAGTCACACTTTTCTAAAGCTATCGCAGAAGGTCTCAAAAACTTTTTACAGATAACCAACCCAGTCACAAGTCTGGAAAATGTTGTCAAAAGCATGCCATCATCTGTGTTCCCTGCTAATTTTTCCGTGAACAATTTAGAAATGATAGTTGTACAAAAATGGATTAAAACCAAAATTAGTTACAACTCTAAAATTAATGCTTTGATTGATAAACCAAAAACTTGTTTTGACATGCGCTCAAACAACCCAGAGCATTGGACTATTATTATGGCCATTAGATTAGCTTGGAGTAAGGGGTGGAGGCATCTTTGGTTAGAAAGTGTTCTGCTTGTGCAATTCATCTTTTTTCGGTGCGGTTGTTCTAAATTTCCCTAGTCTCTTTAGAATGCTTGGATTGATGCTAAATTTCCCTAGTCTCTTTAGAATGCTTGGATTGATGCTGCTAATTCTATGGAATTTTGTATATCTCACTCTTTCAAGGAGGCGAATACGGTTGTTGATTGTTTGGCCAATTCTGGTATAGTTTTTCAGTGTTATATTTGGTGACAGAATGCTCCCAAGTTATATTCTTAGAGAGCTTGGGTTAGATATTTTTGGATTCACAAGATATAGATTCATGACCTGATTTTGTTGTTTTTTTTTTTCCTCTTCTTTTTAATAAAAGTTTACAAATCGGTGACTTGTTATATATATTTTACATTAACCAGAGTGTAAGACGATGAAAATGGCAAATCACCATTATTAAAAAATCGTATCCTGTACTAATAGAATGCTAAATAGTACACAGGAGCGCAAGTATCTCCTAAATTCCAATAAACTACACCATGCATACATTCTTGAGAGACACCTCCAAGAATGCAACTGCAACATTTCTTAGTGGGAACAGCCAATGAACTGTCTTTCCATGAAGTGCAAATTTTCGTAAGCTGCCCAATCATGTCGAACCAACCCCATCCAAAGCTCTTGCAGGTGAATGGTAACCAGCTATGGAAGCTTCTTTTCCTCTGTCAATCAAAATTGACTTGGTGAGAGACAGAAGTGGCAAAAGAAGCCAGAAGTTTGCGCCAAAACTTTATATTCGGAAAAATTGATGGCAGAGTTACCAGACAAGTTGCAGCAGTAGCTATGCCCGTCAGACAAGATAGTAGTCCGACAAGAGGGAAGCACCAACAACACCAACCAGACACAATAAGGAAATGAGGTCCGCTTTTCCGAAGGATGAATCCGATAAGAAGTAGATGTTATGAGACTTGCTGTCTCCTCTAAACCCTCTGACAATCATAGCCTGTCAAAAAGTCAGTAAGCTAATAGCACTACGTTAGAATTGGAAACTATATTTCAACTTCGATACTTTTGAAGACAACTACATATTTATTGGGCAGGCAGGAAAAATAAAGTAAAATTGATATGCAAACCTGTGAAATCTGCTCCGCATGATTGAAAATATTTTTGAAAATTCGACGAAAGTAGGCAAAGAAGACTGCAAAGCAAAGAATCGGTATCATAAGATAGAAAAACTGAAATCAGAAAGTGGACAGAAGATTGATATCATAAGATATAACACTGAAATAACCACTTGAGATCTATTTCATCAGCCATCAAACTAAGCTACAGTTCCTAAGAACTGTTTCTCTGCTACAAAGAGCAGAACAAAATATAAAGTAAATTCCAAGCATGCTAAGGAGTAGAAGTTGGTCATCGTAACATCTTGTTCAAACATAAAATCCTTTATTAACGCATGCACTATATATGCTTACGGTCAATCGTCTCCAACATCGTCAGTTGCTCCCAATTTATCCTACGAGATATAATTCCCAATGCAACATTACGTACCTGCCAATACCAGAAAAATATTTCAAGAGAACGTGGGACCTGTTAATATGATGGCTATAGTCCTTTCTATCACAAGACAGGGCTATAAGTTCCTCAACGTGGTAATTTATTCAGATATAAACAATTCAACAGAAACTTTACTTTCCTCATCAAACACTAAACTGATGAACCTCAACGATAACATAAGGGTGAGAATAATTTCAGCCACAGGCACACCGATATGGGTCAAAGGGAGCATAAACCACCGTAAGGCAGATGCAAGTTGTTCAGGCGTCGTGGTCGTCAGGCAAAGGCTCGCACTTTGGAAGACCTTTCACAAAAACACAAGACCACTATATTCAGAATAAGACTTTCCGCCCGGAGCAAAAAAATAAATAAAAAAAGAAAAGAATAAGACTTTCCGCAAGTACCGAAGCATGTACTCAATAAGCAAAAGGAAAAGCTTGAACCAAGTCGAGAAAAGCGGCTTACTGTGAAGGTTAAACAGGCGGCTGTACTCGCTATAGATAAGCCCTTCCTTGTAAAATGTAATGGTCCTAGCTTCATTATCGAATAGGAATATCCGCTCAAAGATAAAGGAAGATTTGACAATCCCATCATTGCAGGAGGTGGAGTTCTCGATTGCACAAGGGATGGTACGCCATCTGAACCCAGCCCCAACATGATGAATAAAATTCCAGTAAGTAAAGACACTCTTCCAAGTTGGTCCTACAAAAGTAGACGAAAAAGAAACCGTTGCTCTATGCATCATCGAACACTTTCTCGGTAACAATGCTGAAACAATACTCAAACATCAAACCAGTTACAAAAAAAAAAAAAATATATATATATATATGTGCTTTACAAATCAAACAGGGTACTCACCATCCATGCCTGTCTTGGAAGAACCCATATTGACAAGAGGGCCAGGTATATTATTAATCCGAACCGAAGTACTATATGTGACCTTGCTGGTAAAACAACCAAGGCCAAAAGCCATACCTGCACAATCAAGATCTCTCAATGTCATAAGTGCTTTCCTAGGACAATGCTATTTGATTTCACTTGAAAGATTCTGCTTTTATACTAATGATAAGATCAATTTGAAGGACTACACTGACTATTTTTGTCCCACGAATTACGTAACTTGATTGACTAACACACACAAAAAAGAAACACTAATGAATCATACAAAACGTTCCTTAACTCTCCATTTAGACGCAAATAACTACGTTGTACTAATTTCCTAATTCCTAACATACCCAGTGGGGCAAAAGAAAAATTCTCAGAATCCCAAATAAGAAAATGTTTAAAGTTCCAAAAATTTTACGTAGGAAAACTGATACAGTTCACCCCATTGGAAACTGAATGACGAACTACACCAACAATTTTTTTTTTTAATCCACAACTTATTCAACTTGACTACCCAAAAACCAAACACTATTATAACCATGAAAAACGTTCCTTTTAACTGTCTATCCAATCAAAGCAAGAACAATTAGTAAGGAAAAGAAAAAAAACAGCTACATTTCACTAATTTCCTAACATGCCCAGTGAGGAAAAAACAGAAATTCTCTAAACAAACTTTGAAAATGTTGAAAGTTCAAAATTTCCCACAAAAATTGATAGTACCATAACCAAAACAAATAAACAAAGACATGAACTTAGATGAAATTACTTATGTCCAATATCCGAATCGAGCAAACCAAACTAAGGAAAATAGAAAACGACAATAAAAAACAAACCCTAGAAACTCGGAAAGGGGCATTACCAATTTGATTCTGGGGTCAACAGAATGAAGAAACGTTGAGGGCGAGGAGACGTACTGGCAAATGGGACTGGCGGTGGCGCCGGCGATCAGCCTCAGAACCTTATCGGCGGCGATAGCTCCGGTCGGCAGCCGGTTCACCCAGTTCCTGGTCCCACCACCACCACCACCACTTTCATTGTCGCTCGCGGAAGCTCTGACTCGAAAGGTTATCGTCTTGATTCTCGGCGCGTGGTGGTTGGCGGAAAGGAAGCGCGTGAAACTCCGGCGAAGCTGAAGGGTTTTTGTGGCGGTGAGATTCGACGGCGGAGAATAAGGGAAGGAGGCGACCGTTGCCACGGTACAGTGCGTGCAGTTCATTGGTGAGCCTCCGGTTCGGAGAGAGCGGAGGAAGGCTTCGGGTTTTTATACGGTGCTTGCAGTTTCTACTGAGACCCAAATTCCCAAATTGGCGGGAATAAACGACATTTACCTTTGAGCTATTTTATTTAGCAAAAAAAAAAAACCTATGAACTGTTTTATTCGTCAAATAAAAAATAAAGAATTTTTGTGGTAGTGTAAAATTTTTTTGTAAATTCTTTTAATCTTGTATTTCTTTTTTTGATATACTTTTTATTATAATTTGTTTGAACAATTTTGATATACTTTTTAGAGTTATACATTATTAATGATAGTACCATAAATTCTTTTAAAAATTCCTTTAATTAGGAAAAAAAAATACAAGATTAGTTAGTTATTAGTTAGTCTCGGCTTTAATGGTGCCACATAACATAATTTAATGAAAAATTAAATTTATTCTAATGGTGCCACATAAAAATACATTATTGTTCTCAGAAAATATCATCTCTCTAAAATTCACAAACATAACATTTTATATTTATGTGTAATTCTAATGTCAACATAAAAAAGTTTAATTCTAATACAACAAATTCGCTTAAAAATCTAATTGTTCATAAAAATTATTATAGTGTTAATACAACAAATGACATTATTTCTAATACAATTGTCTTGTTTTTATTACTTTTTATGTTCGTGTGTTCATTTAGTTTTCTTAAGTTAATTGTTCTTTTTATCCAAATTATTCGTCTAGAAATATTAGTAGAGTGTTAGACGAAATTTGACTCTATCAGATTGTGTTAGTTTCATTGTCTTTGTATGCCCTTTAAAAAAAATTGATGAAATTTGAACTAAATCTGATGTTCAGATACATACACTACCGATAAAGTAACCCTATCATAAAAAATTCTTTTTTATAAATAAAATTTTCCCTTATGCTCAAATACTGGTGGCTACAAATTAGTTTAATTGCGAGAGGTAGCTTATGAATCAATTTTTTAAACATCTTCTCGTTCTTTTTGTTTATTCGAATTTTGTTACAGTAAAAAGCTCTCAGAAATTGTCATATCTAACTTTTTACTACAGTAAAAAGCTCTCACACAACATCACATCTCAACTCGAATTAACGAACCGAACGGGCTAAATCTGCTCGTTTGCTTATTAATTCACAATTCATTCTTTTAACTGAGCCAATATTATCTTATTACAAATAAACCCTTTTTCAGTCAGATCAAACATCCCAAAAACTTTCTAGTTTCTTCCCCAATCTTGAATTTTTTATTCCAATTAACTACTTACGAGGATCCGCCTACAATCTGCCATCAAAAGTGCGTCTTGGCGCGCAAAATCGGTTTTAAGGACAGACTAAACAGCGCTTTTTCATGCTTTTAATTGCACTGTTGAATCGACAAGTTTATTCTTTTGCCTATCATGGTTGATTGATTCATATACTGCATATGCATAATTGCATCATATTATAGGATTGCTTTGTGCTCAGTTGTACTATTTTTAGTGCAGATAATTCCATGAACCTCAATTTGCAAGACGATTACCAATTTTCACTGTTGTGGTCATGCGTTTGGTTATGATCAGCCCACTGATGCTTACAAACTGGTTGTGATATACACCTCCAACGCATGGAGAAAAGGCGTCCAACAACTTGACAGAAGTTATGATGGTAGAATAGATTGCAATGGTGTTGTGTTGAAGGGAACAATTTATTGGCTCGTCATGGCATTTGGCATGTTGCAAATAGAGCGATTTTCGGTCATCTCTTTCCATCTCCCTAGCTAAAGATTCAAAGAAATTCCGGTGCCCCGCTGTTGTGAAGGTGCATGCGCAAAACTCGTAAAAGGATGTGTTGACGGTAAAAATTCGTCAACAGAAATATCACAAATATCAAAACGGTTTGCGCGAATTTAACGATCTAAAACGTGATTAAAAGCATTCAAACAATAAGAGCACACGAGAATTATCGTAGTTCACCCTTAATTCAATAACTACGTCCACCGTAGGGGAAGAGAATTCACTATCTTTGGAGGAATTACACACACTTATACTCAGAATGAGACTTAAGAATTTCTCGATCTACAATCCCTAATTTATATCGTTCTTCATCGTCCCAGCTGGTTTCTCTATTTAATTCGGAGATATTTTCCTCATCTTTTGGGGTAGTTTCCTAAAATTGTGGGGATTACAATCAATTAGGATGATTTTTTTACTTAAATTTCGTATACTTGAATTACAAATAGCAAATCCCGAAGTAAATCTCGCATGTCTTTCGATTTGCGTAGACTCGGCTTCATAAGAGCTCCCAAAACCATCTTCGACTATAATTGTTTGTGCGGTCGACCTCATGTTGTCCTTTGTATCTCCTCGGAGTGGTCGACCTCCTATGTATGTCACACCTTTTACTAGCAGTATGCTCCTAAGAGAGTTGTCATCTAACATGACAGCTAAGACTGAGCTGTCCTCAATCATTTAATGCCAACATTTATGACGTGTGGGCACCATTTAATGTTTGATTTAGAGTTCAGGATTTTACCCTACCAGAGGATGTATTAGTGTTCTTTGTTACAACTTACAAGAAGGGATTACGAAGCTGTCGGTGATGAACAAAGAATTAGATCACGAGGAAAACACGTTTTGGACTAAGTTGGCCAATTTTCCATCGATCTATACAGATTTGAGGACTCCTATTCCATTGGATGGTGAACTTATTGATCTTGAGATATTCAATGAAGACACAGATGAAGTTTTCAGCGATTCTGATGATATTTGTCACGTGTATGACAAGGTTAGGCATGTAGAAAGTCCAGTTTCATTTCACCCAAGAGAACAAGATGATAAAATAGTAGTTTGTAGTTTTCTATATTTTCTGTATTCCATTCCTTTCACCATTCATTTTTATTCGAGGTGTATTTTTTTTATTATTTATCAGGTAGTCTTTTGATCTAACAATATTAGACTTATCCCACATGGAAAAGATAAAAGTGAGGTTTAGGTTATTGAGTGTATAAGTGAGGTTTAGGTTATTGAGTGTATATATGACTCCAACAAAAATAGGATTAGACTGCTCGCATTTTAACAGACTAAAAGCATAGCAATACATTATAGATTACAAGTGAAGGACAATTCTTTTCGTTTAATTTATAATGAATTTTCAATGTGTGCAATTAGTTATCATATGTGTCCATTCATATATATTGAAAGCCAAATGTGTAAACTCAAAAAGAAAATGGAAATGAGGTAACGCTATTAGCAAAACTCTCATATCCAAATACTTTTCCTTAAAAAGATTTTTTATCAATTAATATTTTTTCTTAAAAGATTTTTTTTATTAATTTTTTTATGTTAAAAAAAAGTGTAATATGTATTTTCGCTCATCTCTTATTTATCATCATTTATCACAAACATATGTTTTCCATGAATAACAACCATAACATATGAAAATATGTGACACAGTTTCACATACAAGAAAAGGTAAAATCTTGCAAGTTTATATAATCAACAAGAAATCATATTACAACACCAGCCTTAAAATTTCACACAGCTAGAGAAAAGTTGTATGCATAATAAAATTCACTTGAAAATAATAGAGTTTTGTGGCTGTGAACAACAACGCATGATAAAACCGAGCAATGTAGATTAAGATGGGAACTTAGACTCTTCCTGCTCTATACTTTTCATAAGCAATAGCTTCTTCAACTCCAGCATGGACAGCAAAGTAGGAAAACATTTGTGTTCCACTGACAATTATTGTCATTACCTCTAGAGTCCTCTGTATAAACAATACAACACTAAGTAACTATTACAAATGGAAAATTGTTTCATGTTAAAAACTAAATTAGCTCTCTCCATGTAAGAGCCAGAGTTAAACTAATCATTTTCCCCAGTAAACAACAGTTTGGTGGGTGACTTAGTGCCTTGCAATAAGCTTTCTTTTCAACTTAACTACACAAGATAAGAATAGAAGCTTACCAAGTTTGAATCTGTCCATCCAAGTTCAATCTCTTTACATGCCAATCTGCAATGGGAAACAAGATTCAAGAGGACGAAAAAGAGACCAATAAGAGACGATGGAAGCGATAACTTAGCAACGTGATTTACCCCATTGCGAGAAGAGTGAGTGCCCAAGTTGCAAGAGAAGAAGCAGCCGCCGTGTGCAAGTTGGGACCATTCCATTGGAAAACATTGTGAAGTCCAGTCAGTGAAGTTGTGCAGCCCACAACACCAGTAAGGAGTGAAAGAATTACGAAGAAACCCGTCGCCACATTGCCCATTGGAAAGTATATTGGAAATATTCTAGCAGGAAAGGATAAAGCAGCAGCTGCATATACATGTAGGGAGCAAAACATAAGTCATGTTTGTTGCCAAACCAATCTTCTAAGCTACCACACGACACCAAATGTCATGTATGTTTGAATTATTATATCTATATGTTCCATGGTGTATCTCCAATCTAAAACTAAACTTCTTTGGGGGTAAATAAGCTTGGACAAAATAGCAATTCTACTTGTACAAAACTCGTAGAATTTTGACACATCGTAAATTCTTTTTTCACGATGTATATCATTGCTCATTTCTGTATCCTCCTAGATTACCTGTTTCCTGCGACCTTTTGATTCCGTGGTTTACAGCCCATGCGGCAATCACGGTTACGATGAAATAAAGGACAAGATTGAGGATGAAGAGTATGGTTGCTGCTGATTTTGCTCCCTGAGAATCCATGGCCTTTTGAAGCTTACAGAAAATGGAAAGAAGAGGAAGAACTGAATATGGACATAAATCTTCTTGAACTCAAGGAAGAATATATACAAGCAAGGAGTTGTTCCTTTCCCCTAGCCAGAAAGCCAAATAAACGTCTGAAAATATTCCTTTCCATGTTTAGGCTTGTTGCTTCATGGAAAGTAAAAGAATCCCTCTTGGTTTTGTATACGCATCGAACAAGAATTTCTAGTTTCTTTGCTGAGTACAGAACACAAAAGAATGTTAATAAAGTGCTTGGTTTCCTTTTTTTCTGGCAAAGAATAAAGTTCTGTGTACGTAAGTTTGCTGAGTTTTTTCCTTTCCCTTTCTTATTCCTTTTTTTTTTCTTCTTGAACTAATTGCTGGAGTTTTTCTAGATAAAACGAACGCGAGTCTCACTCCATTTTACATTTCTTTGATATTCTAGCTTGAATTTGTCATGGAAACATGCATAACAAGCAAAGAAATAACAAAATCAAATGGCGATTTCTGTTTTGTTTAGTAGAAAAAAAAAAGTAGGGATATTTGGAAATAGAGATGTAGCAAATGATGTTCTAGGAAGACATTCTTATCACACCAGGACCACCTGGTCACTTAATTGTCACAATTGTCTGATGTGCAAATTTAGGCAACTGCTAAAATAGCCATAAAATGCAAACACAGTAAAAATGGACTGAGAAAGTGAAGAAAAAAAAAACTTAAATGGGGTCCTGAATATTGGATTAAATATGCCAATAAAATCGCCATAAAGTGGGAAATTTAATAATGAAGTCACTCTAATCTGCAAGATTCCTCTAATCTGAGAGACCATTTTACAAACTTGGACATGAAGAACCGCTCACTTCAAGACCTTTATTTACAGAAGGACACTCCCTAAAGGATCTAGAAAGTGAGAAGAAAAAGCTTCAAAACAGTCGGGCAGATTTATCCCAATTGATAGAATTTTGAGGGCCCATCAGATTATTTTCAACAAATTAACTAGACATTCAAAGCCAGCTTCTGAGCAGCAAGAGCTTCAGACTCAAGTGTTGGCTCCCACAGTAGAGTAGTTTCCGCGAGCAGCGAGGTCACGATGTAGGGGTCCATGTTCGAGGCTGGACGCCTATCTTCCAAGTAACCTGACACATCAGAAACAGCATTCAAAAGGGTCAGTAAATATTGATGCAAAAACTTCAAAAACCAAAACTTGAAAACAGCCTAGTGGTGGTACCTTTTCCTTGCTTCTCGGTTTCTCTCCCCACACGGATCGAGCAACCACGATTAGCCACTCCCTGCGAGTTAAAGTTTCATCAAAAGGAATGTAAGTCTTATTGCACATCTATGGATATTTTTAATTTCGTTTAAATGATATGATTATATCAATCCAAAAACTAAGGCTAAATTTATTCTAGAGGGTTAGAATCCTTTGAGAACATACCCAAGAAAATGTGTCAATGCTTGCTGTTTCATGCTTTCCTGTCAACCTTCTTTCATTTCCTTCTCCATAGGCACTAATATGCTCTTTGTGGCGGAGGGAGAGATTCAAAATTGCCTTCTTAATAGCTTCATATCCTCCATCTTCCCTCATGCTCTTTGTACTACAAAACCAGTGATTATTTGGTATTTAAACAATTATAGAAGACAAAGACATGTTTTTTCCTATATTTATATCATTAATTTCTTGTAGTAAATTGTTTTTTTTTTTCAAGTACCTGAAATTGGTGTGACATCCTGCGCCATTCCAGTCACCCTGTTGATGACAATAAGTAAGAAGTTTTATCCAACTGCAATGTTGACTAAGAAGAAATGTTTGTATGTGACGCATTAAAGTATGTTATGAACTTATGATTTCCCAATAGATTACCTCAATTGGTTTTGGATCCAGGGACAAGACAACACCAGCTTGTTCAGTGATTCTCTGTCAGAACATGAAAGAAACAATATTTCCGTAAACACTACTACTCTGCACGAAACCGCCACCTCACTAGTTCACAATAGGTGCAGAAGAATAGTGCTATTCGGCATTAGTAGTGCCTGGTACCACTACTCCTAATGAGCGGGTGCGGCCCCCAAATGGAACCTATCTATAAGTAGTGGTGTCAACACCAGTACTAATGCCATTTATTCTTTCCGGTGAAAATTAGATATTAAAGAAGAAGATTTTAACTCGAGTCCGTAAAGAAGAATAGTGTTATTCGGCATAAGTAGTGTTTGATATCGCAACTCCTGACGATGGGGTGCAGGCTCTAAGGAACCTACCCATTCATAAGTAGTGGTGTTGGCTCCGCTAATGTCCTTTATTTATATATATATATATATAAATATATATATATATTCGGGTGAAAAGTGGACTAGATTGAATATTAAGGAAAAATGCTTCGCAGCATCACTGACGTCGGACACCAAATTTAATGGGGTATCTCATGTGAAATTGTGCTCAATACAACGCTAGAGATTAGAATTTAATGATTTGGATAATCATAATAGATGAGAATGAATTACCTCAAGAATGTATCTTGAGATCCAGATATGATCTCCAGCATCAATTCCCACGCTGGGACCAACTTGATACTCCCACTGCATTATAGTCACAGTAATTATTGGTGATATAAGAGCACAACCATGGTTAACAATATTAGTTTTCATAAGAAGAACAAAAGTGCAAATGATTAGAAGGAAAACCTGGCCAGGCATAACTTCTCCATTGGTGCCACTAATATTAATTCCAGCATATAAGCAAGCCTTGTAGTGAGCATCTGATATGTCACGGCCAAATGATTTATCCGCTCCGGCACCACAATAATAGGGGCCCTAAAAAACATATAAACATTTCATAATTGTTCATCCAAAAATAATGAGGGGATTCTAATTAGATTTAAATTAAACGTTGCATATTGTACGAGACTCGATACTATGAGTATGAGATGATTCTTTGAACAGCTCTGTTACACCTATTTCATAAGCACCGTCTAATTTAAATTGTATGGTTGAGGTTAGCGGCCCCACATCACAGTATATTTTGCAAAGACTATAATAAATGCAATTATTCAAATTACTACCTGAGGACCAGGGTAGGCTCCAACAGGCCAACCTAAGGGCCATCTAACATTTGGCTGAAGCAAAGTGTACTCTTGTTCAATCCCAAACCTAATTGAATGGTCACAAAATATTAGCACAATATTTCATCATAAGTTATAAGTCTGCTAAATATTAAGGGATACAAGTACACATGTACATATCACAATGGAAATATTACCATGGAACTTCATTAACAACCTTCTTGTTACTGAAAATCTCCGCGGCTCTGTGGCGTTTGTTCGTAGGGATAGGCTCGCCGGCCGGCGTGTATGAATCACAAATTACCTAACGGGAAGAAGATGGTACACCAATTTAGAACTCAGTTATTTGGTACAATAAAAAAGATTTACTTATAGATCGGTTATTTATGTTTGACTTCATGATACTTTACCAAGATGTTGTTACCACCACGGAAAGGGTCCTTAAAAACTGCTTGAGGGCTGTAAAAGAAACGAAAAAAGATTTTATCAAATTTGGTATATAATAATTTAAATAAATCCACCAAATCCAATGCCATTTTGTTCTCAAGATCTTACTATATAATTACTTCACTGTCTTCACCAGGTGCTTGTCCTGTACTTGACCCATCAAAATTCCACTTGGGAAGCTCAGAAGGATGTTCAACAGGCTTTGATATTGTCTAAAATATTGCACAAGTTCATAAAAGTTAAAACTTAGTTTAAAAAAAAAAAAAAAAAAAAATTATCAGTTTTTTTTAGATGCATTTTCAACAGTGTATAATATCATACCCTTGCTTTGCTACGCACATCAATCCCTGACCCTCCAATCCTGTTTCCAAAATAACAAAATATCATCATAATATAGATGTGCATTCACATGTAATTAAAGGGGCAATCGTTTGACAATCTGATTGCCTAGATGAGCTGAAATTCACATTGGAATTCCATTTCAGTGCATTGAAAAAAGTGATAATTTTAAGAGCTAGCATACTTGTGACATGCCATGAAATATTTTATGATAAACATCATGAATGCATAGTGCCAGAGTTGCATAAATATGCAAACCTGAAATTACTGTTTTGTCCTAGCTTTTCTTATCCTTAACAAGTTATATTTTTGTTTCATGATGCGCAATCAAATTATATTTTTCACGATATGTATATCATTTTCCTATATTAAAAAAAAAAAAATACTCACTTTTAATTTAAAAATTCCAACAATTTCGTCCCCTGAGCTCGTTAAATTAGGCAAAATTCATGTGAATTGACACATTTACCCCTATTTAACACTGTCAAAATGTTACACATAAGTGCTGATATGTGGACACAAATGTCAAAAAAGAAGCTAGTAATAATAATACCAAATATATTCAGCAATGATCTTGTCAGTGTAAGGAGTGACATCAAGATTTAGCAAATCCTCAAGCCTGTTGATGGTGCCATTGTCAGACTTGAGTGCAAACACTCTGAACTTAGTAGAGCTCTTCATTGCTCCTTTCTTATTATTCTGTTTCATCACTAGTGAGCCCCACATCTTTGAAGTCATTGGACTTGCATCAGTTGAGGCTTTGGTGATCCTCATCTGCCATTGTGTAGATGGTGCCAAAATCTGTGCCATCTTTCCAAAAAAATAAATAAATAAATAAAAATAAAAATAAATCGAAGATCTTTGAGTAAAGTAAATCTAAGAAGTGTAGTGTCAGGATCTCAATTTTTTAGTACCAATTCACGGTAATGGTGAAGATGAGTCGTTAGTTACTTTTCCATTTGTAAAAGGAACTTTTCAATACAAATTGATGTGAAATTTTCTAAACACATGCTAATAAAAAAAAAAAAATTGGCAATTCATGACGAATCAGTTGATATTAAGAAATTAGGATGAAATAAATGCATTAGTTAAGAATGTTAATATAAAACAAACTAAGAGACGAGGCAATGCTATTGGTTTCACAGTTTTCTTGTGACAAAATAGATACAAGAGAGAGAAGTCAACGTTTCACCTTGTTTATGACAAGTGGCAAAGGATATAATATGAAAGAATATATGATTAATAATTAGATTGGCCTTAACATATGCACGATGCTAGATTGGTTGGCCGACGGCCCTAATTACTTCTCATGGTGACAAGGCCAAGTGGCCGAGGACACTTCTAATGATATGACAAAAAAGACCAACAACAAATCCAATTTTAATCTAATAGGACAAAAGGGAAAACGTTGAACACTATATTTAATTCTTAAGAAAATAACAATTATACCACAACCAAAACCAAAACCAACAAGAGGGTATTGCCTCTGACAGATCTGCCATAAAACGACTTGCCGTTTTGGAGGAAACGTTTCAAGATAGTAAGTGAAATAACAAACAAAAAAAAAAAATTAGCGAAAAAAAAAAACTTTTGGCACCATTTTGTGGCAGATTCCGGCCAAAATGTACAGGAAATGAACAACTGAGTCAGACATTGTTACTTCGGAGTTCTGACTCAATGCTTAACAGATTTCCAATCATTACAAGCCCATTACAAGTACCAAGTTTTCTCATGTTTCCAAGTTCAATAATACAACAAAATACTACTAAAGAGTTAGCACAAAAAAAAAAGAAAAAAAAAAAGAAATTACCTGAGGACTTCTGGAAAATGGCTGGAACAGTAAGCTAGAGAGTGGACTTTGAAGGAGGAAATGCTCTTGTAGAGAGAGAGAGAGAGAGAGAGAGAGAGATAGAAAAGGAGAGAGAGAAAAATCAGAGTGTCTTGAAGTGAAGACTTATATATTTATTTAAAGTAAAGTTGTGGACACAAGAATATTATTGTTTGGGCCTTTGCAAAGTAGATAGGGGTATGGCATATATGTGGAGGAAAATAGTTTTTGGTCCTTTGAGAGGCACCAAGAGAAAGCTTGTGACTTGGTAACATTTTAGATAAGGTTTCGATTTCATGGGCAATTATTTATTCCTCTCTCACCCTCAGCTCATAACTGACAAGTGTGGAAAACAATGATCTAGTTATTACCTATTTCTAAATATACTTTAATTATTCTTAATAATGCCAATTAATGGTGACATTTTCTGTCTCATGATGCTGATTATGATTATGATAACATGTTTTTATAATTCTCTATACCAAGAAAGACATGGATCCACGCGAGTTTAGCTGCGGGGTTTCTTTTGTTTATTATTTATTGCACACCTTAATCTACTCATTCCAAGTGTTATTTTCATTTTAATATAAAGTTTGAACATTGTTTCATAAAAAAAAATTTAAAGTTAGCGATTATTATTATGTTTAATCTTTTATCCAAATAATTCCTTGCCTATTAGCCACACAAAAAAAAAAAAAAAAAAAAAAAAAAGTTGCTTCAGAAATGGTTGTTGGTGACAATGATGTTTGCTTTGCACTTTTCGGTTCCATGACGTATATAGAGATTCCTACATTACAAAATGGCCTTTTTTTTTTTTTTTTTTCTTTTTTTGGTTTTATTGAAGGTTTGCAAAACGCCATTCAATAGGTTGATCTACAATCTAGTTCTACTGGTTCACAATTTTATATCATTAAATTATTCCGCGTGCAGGTGCTGACAAAGAAACGAGCTTTTCCATGTTCTGATTGGGCTCAATTATAGGGCCTAGTTTTGAGGATCCAACCAAGTTATAGCCAATGAGCCCACATTGCTAGGGCTGTTCATAAATCCGAACAACCCGTAAATTCAACCCACCCCGTCCTAATTCAAGCTGAAAAAAACAACCCGCAGTATTATTTTTAAATTTACGGCTCATTATACCTCTAGCCCGAAGTGTTTGGGGCGGATTGCGGGTTGGGCTCATAACAACCCGCAATCCCCAACCCAACCCGCACAACATACCCCCAAGCTTTCGGCCCAAGCCGAACTGCCCAAGTTCTCCCCTAGGCTCGCTAACATTAGGGTTCACAATCTCATTCTCGGTCTCCCCTCCCGTGAACCCCCTCTTCTTGCCTCTTCCTTTTTAGTTTTCCCTATTCTTCCCCTCCCGTGAACCCCCTCATAACTCTCTCCTCATTGCTCAGTCCTCTCGGCCGCTGTCTTGCCCACTTTCTCCGGTGCTCTCTCACCGGACTAATAAGGATGGTTGCTATTTCTATTTAATGATGAAGTTTGAATATTATATTGAACTTTAAGTCTTCGATTTTTTGAATGTTAAAACCGACCACCCAACCCACCCCGTACCGCCCCAACCCAACCCAACCCGAACATCGTTGGGTTGTGAAATTTTTCTAACATCGTTGGGGCCAAATATGTGCAACCCGCACCCTTTGGGACAGGGAAAAAAAAGTCTTACCCCGCACCAACCCAACCCATGAACAGCCCTACATATTGCTATATAAGTTGGGCTTTATAATTTTTGCTCTTCAAATGGGCTTTAAAGAAAACTGCCTAATGAACAAACTTTTACAGAGAATACCACAACCCCGTCATCATCGCACTATATTTAAAATTTTAATTTACCACATAGCAAAAAAGGTTATGGTTTTTATGGTCATGGTAAAAGTAGTGTTGTCAAACATGCCGTGCTGGGCCCGCATGACACGCTTGACCCCAGGCCCATCACGGGCCTGGGCCGTGCCAGACACGGCCCTGCACAGTGCAGGGTCGTGCCTGGGCCGGGCCTGAGAAGAAAAACTCAGACCCGGTCCAGGCCCTTCACGGGCCGGCCCCGGCCCTTGTTTTTTTTATAATTAATTAAAAAATATCAAATGCCCCAAAAGATGTGATTTTATTGAATTGACGTAATAGGAGTACACGTAAATGACTGCCTCGTTAAAAACCTTGCTAAGTAAAACCGGTAGGGAGATCGGGACAAAACCTTAGCGAAGGAAAAAAGAGTGCAGTAGCTAGGAATAGTAAATTACAAACCTAAGTACTTCCAGAAGATTCTGTTATTTCTAAGTTAGAAAAATATTCTTGCATCGAATCATCTATGTATTGTTATTTTCGTCTTCTGGCATCTTCCCAGTCTTTAACGCACATTAGTCCCTCCAAGATATCTGGATGCATTCTGCTTCTCTTCTCGTCAAGAATTCGGTTGCTTGCGCTAAAAGCTTGCTCCGATGCTACCGTTGACACTGGAGTTGTCAGAATGTCACGAGCTATTATGGACAGTGTTGGAAAATGATCTGTCTTTCTCTTCCACCACTGTAATAGGTCTAGTTTGTCGTCATCGATTACAAAATTTGCTTCAAAATATTTGACTAGTTCCATAGACGCTTGTGTTGAGGACGATCCTG